CGACTCCCGCCACCCCGGGCGTCCCGACAGGGGGCAGCGCCCCCGCGTGCCCACTGCTCCTGGCCGACAAGAGCACTCCGGGCCTGAAGGGCAAGGAGCCCGTGGTGTACCCCTGGATGAAGAAGATCCATGTCAGCGCCGGTACGTGGCGCCGCTGGGGAGGCGCGGGAGGATGAGCTGGGGCCCGGCCGGGGTGTGAGGGTCGGGGCGGGGGTCAGCAGGAGAGGCCGAGGGGACGGGGGCCTCGGGAGGGGAGCCCCCATCTGGCCTAAGCTACAGTGGGATGTGGGTGTGTGCGCGCCAACCAGCCGCCTGATCCCAATGTGAGAACCCTTTTGTACCCGGAGTCCCTTTATCTGGAGATTTACGAGACACCAAACTGTTAGGGCAGTAATTATAGCCCCCATAAATTTAATTGCCCTGGCATAGGCTTCAGGCCATGTGTCTTTGAAGCTTTTCTTCAGCCCCAATGCCCAGCACCATTCTTTATGGCTCTCGGGTGTTTCCCGTTGTCAATAGCCTGTGAAACATTTTCTTTGCCGTTTTATGTATCTTGCGTGAACTTGGTGTCAGGTTATTATATAATGATGATGTCCAATTGCTCTTCCTCACCCCACCTTCTCTCTCCTCCTCCTTTCCCTCTCTTCCACTCCCTCCTCCTTGGCTTTCTCCTCGGGGTTATGGGCTTTCAGTCAACCCCAGTTATAACGGAGGGGAGCCCAAGCGCTCTCGAACCGCCTACACCCGGCAGCAGGTCTTGGAGCTGGAGAAGGAGTTCCACTTTAACCGCTACCTGACCCGGCGGCGCCGCATCGAGATCGCCCACACGCTCTGCTTGTCCGAGCGCCAGGTCAAGATCTGGTTTCAGAACCGGAGGATGAAGTGGAAGAAAGATCATAAACTGCCCAACACTAAGATGCGATCCTCCAACTCGGCCTCAGCCTCAGCCTCAGCAGGCCCTCCAGGGAAAGCACAAACTCAGAGCCCGCACCCGCATCCCCACGCCCACCAGGGCGCCTCGACACCCACTCCCTCCTCCATATAACCTTCTAGAGATCTAAATCAGTTTCTTTCCCTCACCTGCTTCTCTCCTCTCTTCTGCCCCTTTCCCCATCCACCCCTACCCTTCTGGACCATAACAGACCCCAAAACAAAACCCAACTTGGTGAAAAGGATAAGGAAAAAGAAGACGACATTGTCGGGGTAAGAGTATGTGCTGGTTGCCACCCAAGAGAGGACAATGGCCAGGGTACTGGCTGACGGAACAACCTGCTGGCCTGAACAAGGCTGCCAGGTTTGGGTACCTCAGAAGGACTACTTGGCATCAAATACTTTTGAGATGGCTAAAGTCAGCTGGACAGCCCATGCTGATTGGGGATATGTACATGTATATGTGTTGCAAGCAGAAGAAAATAGACCCTTTTCCTACCTTCCTTACCTCCCCTCTGTCATGAAGGCAGCTCATACAAGCTTGTCTTGAACTGAATAAATGAGTAGACATTGTGGACCTCACAAGATTATTTAATTCTCAAAATGTATAGACCTTGATGGTAGCTGTGACACATGATAGTTTCCTTTCCTTGCATTTATTTAAAATACTGTTGTAGAGATATTGTTGTCTTATTCTGAGGCACAATCGGGGACGGGGAATGCATCTAGACCCATGTGCAACTGTGCAAATTGTGGTGTGGCTATATAGAAAGCTATGTGCTAAGAATAAACTCTTTAAAAAAAAATCAAAGTTCTAAGACACATTTGTGTTTCTTACTTTTAGTTTTAAAAAAAAGTTCTCTGGGTTGAGATGCTTGACCTTGCATGTGAAAATCTTGTAGATGGCTTGAGTTGTGTTCACTTGGATTTGGACTGCTCACATAATTTGTGTGAGTGTGTTCAACTTGAGCTGAACTCTTGTCAAGTTTGACCCACTATGGGAAAAGTTCCAAAGAGCATGAAGGCTCTTGAGCTCTGAGAGGGCTCCTCTTCTTCCCAAACTTGGCCAGGCTTTCAGGCTTCAAGTCTCTGTAAGGCATAGAAACGTGTCCTTCCCTGCTATGAAAGGTGAAACCAAGCAGTGCTGTGGGCCCAGGAGTTTCTGCAGCTGTTCTACACGCTGAACTCTGAGCACACTTGGAAAGAAGTGGTCCCTTTGGTATTTATTGCACCTTCACACTTAATCTGCCTGTTTCCCTGGAGATAAAAAATAGTTTGTGCAAAGGGTTGAGATTGCTTTTCGTTTCTTGGCTGTTTTTACGTTTCTCTTTGGAATCTAGCTGGGCATGTGTTAGAAGTTCCTTGATGAGGTTTCAGAGCCTGGGTGTGACTAACTTTTCTTTCCTTCCTTCCTTCCTTCCTTTTCTTTCTTTTTCTTTCTTTTTTGGAAGAGCTTTCAAAATAGACTGAATTTTCCCAGTACACCCTCCACAGTTTCTCCTGAGGAAAGAAAAAGTTTAATAACACTCCAAAATGCACCCCAAGCAAGGTAGACCTGGGAATATTTAGTGCTAGAAGAAAGCCAAACTCTGAATTAGGGTCACTTTCCTCAAATACTCCTAGATCTTTCTGCTCTGCCCAGAGATTCTAGATTCAAAGGGTCAAAAATCAAAATGCACCTCTCAATGTTTCATAACCCTAGAATTTACTTACTGATTTACAAGTCAGTTAAGAGGATTTAGACTTGGTTGTCACTGAAGGGACAACAAGATACATAAAACAACACACACTAGCCCCAGAGTCCAAGAACTATTACTAGGCCTTGAAGGAGGGCAATATTTAGTTCATGTAATAATTTTAGCAGAGATGGGAGGGGGCGCTCACCTACTTCTGCAATTATAGAGGAGTTTTAACATTTGTGCATCAGTGGCAAACCCTTAGCCAGTAGTCAGTACTGTTACTCCTGCCTCTGCTGCCCAGTGTGTGATACAGGCTCTCTACCTATGAACAAACCAGATTTGAGAGAGAAGTGATGGACACCAGTCTCAGAGGGGCCTCCACCTCTTCCCAAGAAAATTCAGGCGCAGATAAGTATCTGCCTTCTCGAGTCAGGCCAAACATGACATAAAGTGCATTTATAAGGTGTGAAAGGGTGCCAGGGATTTCTGGAGGCATTGCAACTGCTGCTGAAACTTACTAACCCTCCCCCTACCACATGCACTTGTAAAACGAAATTAAATCACGCTGAAAATAGCAATTTCCCCAGGAATCATTAATCACCTCATACAATAAATACTTCTTTGTAATTCAACAGCAATTCTGAAAGGCATTCTCTGGGAAGTCTGTGGAGAAGCGAGGGATCTTCTTGCAAATAATGTGGTCTCGGGCAAGGACGCAGCATCTTGGCTGTCTGCTCAAAAAATGCCTAGACTCTTGGTGGAAACTGAGTGTTGAGCTGCAATACCGCAAATGGCAGATTATCATCATTTAAGGTAAATTCTTATATTCTCCTTTGTAGGGAAGGAGGGGGATGGGGACATCCATTAGCTTCATACTGGAGGCAGCTGTATGGGGGTGAAGGGGGTAATTTTCTTTCATTTACCCTTATGATTTAGCCAGGAAAGGAAGAGAGAGGATCAAGATTGTTTTTCTAATATTCCAGGACAAAATGGCATTTTTACCCAAACTGTCTTGATTATTAAAGAATTGATAAGTTTTACCAAGTCAAAAATGGTCCAAAGTGATCCAAATGATTGTGTCATTTCTTCACAGTGTTTTGCCTGTGTCAGATTTTCTATTTAAGGGAGCTTGTTATAACAGCTGAGAAAGTCCCACTTTGTGCTTCAAAATCATGCATTGTCTGCCCTTTGCTAGGGCAACCATAAGAGTTCACCCAGAGGACAAATTTTCTATCTCATTAATTGTTTTTTTTTTTTTTAAAGCAAACCCTACTGGCCCCTCAAACCCTTGACCTTTAAAGACAGTATTTTGTGTAAGCTCTATAATTCTCTTACCCAAATGACCCTTACACATGCTCTCCTCTCTTTCTTCTTTCTCCC